ACTTTTCGCTGCTGCTCTGTTCGCCGCTGCTGCAACGCCTGCCGCTGCTGCACCTGCTTTTTTGCTGCTATGGCATCTGCTGCTGCTTCTGCTGCTGCTGCTGCTGCTGCATCTGCTGCATTGCCGCATCTGCAGCCGTCTGCCATATGAACATTTCTGGTGTTACTGCGGCTATCGCTGCTGGTACACCTCTTGCTGCTGCATCTGCTGCTGCCGCTCCTGTATTTGCACCTGCTGCTGCCGCATCTGCTGCTGCTGCTGCTGCTGCTGCTGCTGCTCAGGCCAGTGGGGTGGGAAGGTCTGCATGTGGGAAGGAACGCAGCCGCTGCTGAACAGCATTAAAGAAGAGCGGAAGTGTCCTGACGAATTGCTGCAGCAGCAAGTGGTAACGATGACAGAAGAGCTGAAGCAGCAGCTGCAGCAGGAGCGGGAGCTGCTGCAGCAGGGGAGGCGCGAGCTGCAGCAGGAAATAGAGCAGCAGCAGCGAGAGCAGCTGCAGCAGCAGCAAGACCGGCTGCGGCAGCAACAAACCTAGGCCACACGCACCCACTGCAGCACTAGCAGCAGCAGCTCCCGTCAGCAGCAGATGCTGGACCAGCAACTACAGCAGCTGCTGCGGCGGCAGACCCTGCAGCAGCAGCAGCAGCAGCAGCTCACAGCAGCAGCAGCAGCTGCTGAAGCAGCAGCATAGTACATACTGGTCTTTTAATGTTTGGGGGGCCCCGGGGCCCCTGCATGCACAGTGAGGGTTTCCTGTGCATTAGGGGCGAACTATTTGCTTCAGCTCGCAGCAGCAGCAGCAGCAGCAGCAGCACCTGCAGCAGCAGCAGCAGGATCCGAGGCCCACTGCAGCGCACTCCTTTATTGAAGGCTTCATTTCGAGGTGGATCTGCCGCTTGCGCAGCAGCAGCATGCAACAGCAGCATGAAGCAGCAGCAGCAGCAGCAGCAGCAGCGGCTTCCACCTACAAAACTGCATGCATGCATGCATGCATGCATGCATGCATGCATGCATGCACGCACTCATGTACAGCAACAACGCATGCATGCGTAGCTGCATGCATGCAAAGTTAAAGTCCTTTGTAGGTCTCGAGGGGCCTCGGGGCCCCTCGCCAGTTTGGCTTTGTCAAAGCCCCAAAACCCCACTGCATGCGAGCCACTGCATGCATGCAACTGCATGCATGCATGCATGCATGCATGCATGCATGCATGCGTGCATGCAGTTGCTGCATGCATGCGGGGTTCACGGCGTGTTCGCGAGGTGTGGGGTTTAAAAGAACTTTTTTGTTTGTTTAATTCTTTGTTCCCCTTCTCCTCTTCTTCTGGGGGCCCCCGGGGGCCCCCGCTGCTCTTGCTGCTGCTGCTGCTGCAGCAGGGGGGGCCCCCCGTGCTGCACTGAGGGGCCCCCCTGGGGCCTCGGGGGGCCCCCAAGCTGTTTCTGTGGGGGCCCTTGCTGCTGCTTTGGACAAGTAAGAGACCTTCTCCTCCTGGACGCGGATCGCTTGCTGCAGCAGCAGCAGCAGCAGCAGCAGCAGCAGCAGCAGCAAATGAAGAAGAGAGATGACAAATGCAAATGTTTAAAATGTGCCACTTAAATGTTTGAACTTTTAACAAGACCATTTTTGACAAACAAAAGACATGCATGCACTTGCATGCAGAGCTGCAGAAACTGAGAAAAAAGAAAATGTTTTTTAAAAGTAAAAAAGTATTTTTAAAATTAAAATGGAAGTTTTTAGATAATAAATGGTATTCTTAAAATTAAAGTTTTTATTTTAATTGGAAACAGCCACAAGAATAAAAATATTGAAGATTACTTTTAGATTTAGCATTTCAAAGCAAACATTTATAAAAAATACTTCAAATCAAATATTAAAAAGAAGTATTTGAAAAGTATTTTTAGATATTAAAGAAGCATTTTTAAATATTAAAAGGCTTTTAAATAAAAGCATTCAAAATTAAAATACAGAAAGGTTTATCAAAAAGTATTTTCAAATCCGGCATTTTGGCGCAGCAGCAAAGTGAGTCAAATTAAAACAATTAAAAGCACTTGAGTAAAACAAATAAATAAAAATAAATAAATAAAAGTAAATAAATAAATATAAATAAAAATAAATAAATAAAATAAATAAAAAGAAAGAAAGAGGTGCAAGTGTGGGGCCCGCACCTGCAGCTGCGCCAGGTGTCTGTACACCTCGCGCTCCCGCATGCACTGCAGCGCAGCACGCAGCAGCTTGAAAGCAGCAGCAGAACTGAAGAAGCAGCGCGAAAGCGGGTCGAAGTACTTCGCGGGGGCCCCCGTCACTGCGCACACCGGACTCGGAGGCGCTGCAGCAGCAGCAGCAGCAGCAGCAGCAGCAGCAGCGGCGGCGGCGGCGGCGGCGGCGGCGGCGGAGGCGGCGGAGCAGCAGCAGCAGCAGCAGCAGCAGCAGCAGCAGCAGCAGCAGTAGCAGTAGCAGCAGCAGCAGCAGCAGCAGCAGCAGCAGCAGCAGCAGCAGCAGCAGCAGCAGCAGCAGCAGCAGCAGCAGCAGCAGCAGCAGCAGCAGCAGCAGCAGCAGCAGCAGCAGCAGCAGCAGCAGCAGCAGCAGCAGCAGCAGCAGCAGCAGCAGCAGCAGCAGCAGCAGCAGCAGCAGCAGCAGCAGCAGCAGCAGCAGCAGCAGCAGCAGCAGCAGCAGCAGCAGCAGCAGCAGCAGCAGCAGCAGCAGCAGCAGCAGCAGCAGCAGCAGCAGCAGCAGCAGCAGCAGCAGCAGCAGCAGCAGCAGCAGCAGCAGAGAAGACCGGGAGGGCGGGTGAGTATGGCGCGAAGGGGCGGTTGGGGGCAGTGTTGCAGCAGCAGCGGCAGCAGCAGCAGCGGCAAAAAACAAGCAGCAACAGCAACAGCAGCAGCAGCAGCAGCAGCAGCTACGGGTTTGCGAAAAACTACGCGATCGAGGAAGCAGCAAAGTGAAGAAGACAAACTGGAGAGGGACAAGCGAAGCAAAAAAGAAATAAAAGAAGTAAAAGACTTAAAATTAAAATAAATAAAAATGAAATAATAAAATAAATAAAATAAAATAAATAAAAAGTTTACTTGCTGGAGGCAGAGCTTCATAAAGACTTGGCAGCTTCCCGTCTGTGCAAATCAGCAGCACTTTTTCGTAAACTTCTTCTTCTTCCTCTTCTGCTGCTGCCGCTGCTGCTGCAGCATCTGCTGCTGCTGCTGCTGCTGGAGTATCTCCTGCTGCTGCTGCTGCCGCAGTGCCTGCTGCTGGTGCTGCTGCTGGGTCTGCTGCAGCGGAGCTTGGTGCTGCTGGATCTGCCGCTGCTGCTGCCGCGCCTGCTGCGTCTGCTGCTGCGTCTGCTGCTGCTGCTGCGTCTGCTGCTGCTGCTTCTTCGCTGGGGGGCCCCACCTGCAGGAAAGAGGCCCAAGACAGCAGCATTTGGTAGGGGCCCCTATATGCTGCTGCTTTGGAGAGTTTGTGCAGCTGCCGCAGCTCTTTGTGCTGCTGCTGCACCACCAGAGTTGCTTCGGTTTCCTTTTCCGTTTTGTCGGCCAGCAGCAAGTGCTGCTCCTGACTCATTTCCTGCTCCCTGCTGCTGCTGCTGCTGCGGCCCGCCCCCTGCTGCTGCTGCTGCTGCTGCTGCTGCTTGGAAGTGCGCAGCTGCTGGTTCACCGTCTCCGTTTGGGTGCGGGTGGAGGGGCGGGTTTGCTGCTGCCGCTTGGGCTCCCCGGGGCCCTGCTGCTGCTGCTGCTGCTGCTGCCGCTGCTGCTTGAACTTCTGCTGCTGCTGCTGCTGCTTGCGCTTTTGCTGCTGCTGCCGCCGCTTCATGGCCTGCTGGTAGAAAGTGACAGCGCCTTTGGCCTGCCTTCTGGGGCCGCGGAGTTCTTCGTCGGAGTCTTTTGCTGCTGCTCGTCGCTGCTGCTGCTGCTGCTGCTGCTGCTCGTCGCTGCTGCTGCCGCTCTCCGCGGCGTCGAAGTCGCTGTCGACCTCCTGCTCCGCTGCTGCTGCTGCCTCAGCAGCAGCAGCAGCAGCAGAGTCGTATTCTTCATCTCCACTTTCTTCTTCCCATGTTGCATGTCCCCAAAATAAATTATCTTTTTCTTTTTCTTCTCCAATTAATCTGCTGTAGCCTTTGCCCCTCGTGCTGCGCGGCGGCAGCTCCAGCCCGATCCCCACTTCTGCTTCGCTGCTGCTGCTGCTGCCTTCGTTGCTGCTGCTGCTGCCCCCCTCGCTGCTGCTGCCTTCCCGCTCCTCTTCCCCGTCGCTCCCTCCTGCTGCTGCTGCTGCTGCTGCTGCGTCCTCATCGGCGCAGGGGCCCGCTGCAGCAGCAGCAGCACCCGCAGAGCCGCCAGCCCCAGAGGGCTGCCACTTGCTGCTGCTCCCAGGCATGGCGCCCCGGTAGTTGCTGCTCCGGACGCTGCTGCTGCTGCTGCTGCTGCTGCCGCTGCTCCTGCACGAAGACAGGGGGGCCCCCCTCACATGGTCAGGGGCACTTCCGGGGGCCCCCGGGGGCTCACAGGGTCAAAGAAGCAGCAAAGAGGTGAGCGGGAGCTGCAGCTAAACTGGAGCTGCTGCAGCGCTAGGGGCCCCTTGAAGCGATTGTGCTGCAGCAGCAGCAG